AAGGGGAATGCAATGTTTAAAAATATACTACATGAATCTAAGTTTAATTACTGAAAAATCATTATTGGATAAAGTAACTTTATTTTACATATAAATACAAACCTCAATAATCTGAGGAAAAATAAGTTCAAGGTCTTAGGGAAGAATTTATGTCCTTGATAGCATATTCATTAAAAAGGCAAACAATTACATTTAAGATAAATCATTGCATGTGTAATGAGTTCAGAACAGAAGTGCCACTACCTTTTAAAAAAATTTTTTTCAGAAGCTTTAGTAAAACTTAAATTTATGTTTATAATATAAAGTGTAAGTCAATTTTAACTTGAAATGAAAACTCTGGAAATTAAGGGCGGCCTCTAGATCAATAGTTTTGCAAATGCTAAGGGAAACACTGGTCAATTTTAATTTTCAACTTTTACTTCACCAACCTGAAAGAAAAAGAGTTGGGGCCAATTTGAGAAGACACCGATACTAAAATATGTAGTTATAAAACTGAAGGGCATTCCTTCATCATTTTAAGGCACAGTCTGTTTTATCCCAAACAACTATAAGTTCAAGGTCACAGTGATAATATGCATTCAATTTTGGTCTGGTTTCTCATGGGTACATTGCTACATTTAGTTAGTCATAGGATTAAGAAACTGTAATACAATCACTTTAAAATAATATATTTAAGTCATTTTTATATTTTTAAAAATGTAAATACACAATACAATTTCCTAATTTATATACACTAAAAATTGGAGCTTACTCCTCGTCCACAGGGGAGGAAGAGAAGGTTATTTCTACCAATATACCAACAAATATATATTTGAGTATGTAGAAAGCATGGTTATGTTAAATACAGGCATCTCCTACTTAGGATACAATTATTCAACACAAAGCCGAAACTCATTCCAGAAAACAATGTTCACTTAACTTTTAGGTCTTGTACATCATCTTTTTACTAATATCCCCACCAAATAATTGGATAAACTATCACTATATCAAGGTTAAATAAACATTTTAATATTTGGCTTTCTCGGCTGCCTCTTTACTTCCAGATACTTATGCAAACTGTATCAACATTATTAGGTAGAGAAACAGTAAGTGACATTAAATAATGGAAAAACCTATAATCTGAGAAACTGAAATTCCCTTTGAGAATTTCTATAGGGGAGAAATGAAAGAATTTTAACCAGATAAACATAAGTTTCTGAGTGTATCACATTTCTACTTTTCTCTCAAGAGTATAACACCGTATCAACGTTAACACTTTAGCATTAACAGCTTGATTGTTTTATATTTTCTTTTAAGATATGCATTTTAAAATATTTACTTCATTGTACTGTTAGGTTCTAGTGGATAATTTTTTTTCTGTGACACATGTGACTGTACAAAGGGACTGAATGGAAATACAGAGAAAACAAATTCTGTAAACTTTCATTACAAAAATGAGAGACACCTGTACTAAAATGAACTATGCAACAAAATTTAAAATTTTATATCACAGGAAGAATTGAAAGCAAAATTACTTCACATGATTACTTCAATTAATTAGTGAAAGATCATTACGGGTAAACTAACTTTTACCCAACAAATCAGGGAACATGATTCCAGAAATCATATAAAATAGGATACAACTATGCTATAAGCTTTATATATTTTCAAAGAGAAATTAGAGTATGGAATATAGTTTTGAGGATTTACATATTTCATATAAATCCTAGATGAAAAATCCTGAAAATATTATTTTTGCTTTAATCCCAATATGCTAAGAAAAGTTCATTGGCACAAATGTCTGGAGGTATTTTTTCATTTAGCTTTGGTGGCAAAGTGTGTTTTGCTAACCACATGAATACAGTTATATTTTCCAATGTAGAGGCTTATGCTAAAAAAAAAAAAAAAAATTCAAATGTGTCTTTTTTTCCTAAAAAAGGATTGTAAAAAGTCCGATATGAAAGAAAACAAGTGCAACATGAAATACAAAATATGCCTATCATTTAGACTTTTGAACAGTTAATAGTTCTATGCTTTTTCTATAAATCTTTTACTAATAATATTCCTGCTATATAAATACTAAAAACCAAGATAACATTAAAAAAAAACAGCATATGAACTTTACAAAAATGGCTACTTTTAGACTTCCTAAACTAAGATTAGGGTCCAAATCTGCAAACAAATTTATATTTAACTAATCAAAATACATCAACAGATACAGTTTTTCTAAATGTTCAAAGTTACAATGTACAGAATCAGTAAAGAATAATTCTGACATATATATCAAATTCTATACAAAGGCATCAGAAATTAACTGGTTACTTGGTATTTCAAAACACAGTCATTTCTGGCAGCATAACATGCCAAACACTTTTAGGAAGTACTGTACTTGATTTAAAAAAAATTCAGCCATAGACAATATAATCAAGATGTAGCTTAGAATATCTAACTTTTGAAAGACACAGGTTATCAATTCAGGTGTACTGTTATATTTATACTAGTAATGAAATAACAGTTAATCTTACTGTTTCCAAATTATATTCCATTCTTAAAAGTTATTAATATACAAAATTCAGTCTTCCGTATTTATAATTTAATTATCAAAAAATGTGAATTCTTGAGCATTTATAGTAGACATATTTGGATTTGGATTACTGACCTGATTTTTCTTTCCTATTATCCTTATTAACAATAAAGATAATGAGTAGCCTCACAGACTTTCTATCTCCTCAGGCTGTTAAAACTTACTGTGAAAAAATGCATGAATAATACGTATAAATAAAAGTTCATTGAAGAATTTGAAATGCTGTCCTTTGTTCAAAAAGACCAGGATAAAATTTCGCCCTCAATTATCTTACTACTTTGTAAAGTGTTCTCTACATTTGCCTTATGTGGCAAGCAAGTTTTCTGTCAGGGTTTAATTTCATAATACAAAGATACTTTTATTGTTTCCTTTATCCTGAGGAGTGCTATGCTCTCCAAATTGACTTTCCCTTCTACAACTTCCCAAAGTATCTTGTTTCCTATGATATACAAATTCACAAACCTAACACACTGAGAAAACAGTGATAATGAAAAGTAATCAACAAATGTCTACTCATAAAAGGTCCCAACACATTTAAAAATTTTTTCCCAATTGATTTTAATTTACTAAAATTGCAAATGCAGCACTGTCAAGTTTTGCACTAAACCTCATTACAAAGCAAGACGTTACACTAACTTAGGCCTAATGCCTAAGATGAAAATATAGGCCAACTGAATTATCTGGGGATTCAAGAATCAATAGCCCTCATTTATCTCATAATCTTTGTGTTTCCATTTTCCCCAGAGCTTTCAAGAACTAAACTGAAAATTGAGTTTTACCTCTTTTTTGTTTCCCTTGACTACCTTCCGTAAGAGGTACTAATGTGCGAGGTGACATGGATATACTAAACTGTAAATGAAAAGTCTAAAGAGTTAAGAAAAGTATAGGAACTAGATAATGAACAAATCAGATAATTTGCCTCATATAAGTATACGTGTGTGGTGGAAATGTGTATCATCTGCATGAGTAATATGATAATCAACCTTTTCTAGGCCTGCTAGTTCTAGTTCTTTCTTTTCCCTAGTGTATAATCATATAAATATCAAAGTGTAGTTCAATTAAGAAAAGGTTATTCCATTATATACATCTAAATTTATCTGATCAAAATATGAAAAAAAATTAAAGACTGATTAATCTATGACAGGCACAAATGGTTTCTTTTTTTTTAGGACCACTATTTTAAATACAGTAATACCTTGGTTTGGGAGCATAATTCGTTCCAGAAACAAACTACTCGTATTGCAAGACATCGCTTGTCTACCACGTTAAAATGTATTAGAAATGTTTGCTCGTCTTGCAGAACACTCACAAACCACGTTACTCGCAATACAAGATTTTACTGTATTTTCATTCTGTTGACAAGAAAGGAGTTAGCAGAGCCTGTTTAATTTCTGGCATGAAAAAGACTCAGAAAAAAAAGCCTTAATGATTTCTATCATACTATCAGTTCTAAATTATAAGAGTAGTAACTCCAGATGAGACTTTAGAAACACTGCAAGTACTCAAGTGTTTTTCCTGCCCTGTCTATATTTGAGTCAGTTATCAATAATAGGGTCCAGGAGTAATTTTTATGAGCACAAAACTTACTCAAAACTCAACAAGTGCTACTAAAAATGTTGTAACATTAGAGCTCACAAGTTTGTTGAGTCAGACAATCCCTAACTACCAATAAACAATTTCATTTTTAGTAGCATTGTTAATAAAGCTGTTCTACCAGCTAATAATATAGGTGGCAAGCATGACAGAAACAATGTGTAACTTAAAAACAAAAGGGCTTCCCTTTTCTCAAGTGACAAAAACATCGATTTCACTAATCTTCAGATAAGATTCTGGTAGTTATTTGAGTTTAAAGTGCATCAAGATTTGAAGAAGACCCTGTCAAAATGTTTAAAAAAAAAAGTCTCTCTCTCTCTAATATATATGTATCTAATGGCTAAAGACCCAATCTACTCTAGTTTCTAAAATGTTTAATCAGGATTCTTTTTGTAGTTCTAAAATGAAACGTTTTGTTGAAATAAATAAGACTTCATGATAACTACACTCATGTGAAAATACCTTAGGGAGAATTTGTGTGCCTATTCTGCTGCTTTAAAAAGCTAACGTACTACTCACAAATGAAAAATTTAAGCTTGTTACATTTTATTCATGAGCAGTACTGACTAAACAAGGAGACTCTAGTTCACATAAACACAATGATTATGGGTGTCAATAGAGGATCCAAATTAATGGATTTTCTAAAGTTCTTTCTGTATATTGACCTAAGTTTAAATTCAGAATTACTTAAATGACATGTTAAACCTATAACTTGAAATCCATGAAAAAATAAAAAATACCATGTATATAAAAATTTATAAGAATATATATAGGGCCGGCTGAGTGGCTCAGTTGGTTAAGAGCTTGCTCAAGAGTTTGAGCTCTGAACAACAGTGGTTCGATTCCCAGCCCGAGCTAAGCTGCCAACAGGCTCAGCTCAGCTTAAAAAAAAAAAAAAAGAATATATATATAGCTAAACAGAGGCAAATGTGTCCTAATTTAAATATATATGTGGTATGCTATGGGACAAATGTATACTCTAATAAATTCTATTTCCTTTCAGGTACTGAACACAAGCATTTTGTACTTTATCCCTTTTGCCACTTTTCTCAAACAAGAGCATGGCAGGCATACCTGCCTTGTCTACTACGAAGGTATCACTTCCTTTTAATGGTCTCAGTAAGTGAAAATATGAATTCTGAACAACAGGCATTAAGTTTGGAAAGACAATAATGGGATCAAACTTACAATCCTCAGAGAAGACAGCAAGACCCTCTTCAACTGATGCTAAAAGAGCAAGGACCTGAGAAACAATTGAGAAGTGGGGTAACCCTGCAGAGGCAGTAACATGGGGTAACCCTCTATAGGCAGTAACAGCTGAGAGGTTGTAATGGAATCCAGATGCAATGGCAGATAAAATGAACCTGGTACTCTAGGACATCCCCAGGTGATAAGGACACAAGTTCATGGGTGCAACTGTGGAATTATTAGGACTTAAGGAATTGAGAGGTTTTAGGTATTTACAGCACACATCTAAAGGAAGGGCTCTATCAGCTACGTAAAGCTCAGCCTGAGTTTATTCTTTCTTAAGACAGATACCTAGCTCCACTACCTACTTCCTACTCTTCTGTAGCTAAAAGTGAGCTGAAATCTGAAATGAAATAGAAATATTATTCTTTTATCTGCCAAACAATAATCACCTTAGCAAATTAAGATTCCACTTTAAAACCAGTGATTAAAGCCTCTAATTTATTCAGGTATACTGTTTATACTTATGCTATTAGTGGGGTAAGAGTTTGTCTACTGTTATTCCATTACTATTATAATTTTATACATCAAATGTAGTACTGCACTTGATCATGCTAATTTTTTTCTACAGTTGTCAATTGTGAAAACCTAGAGTTTTTTCTGACCACTGGAATTTAGTTATTTTAACAATCCAACATGACCTGAGGCACTTTTGGCAACCATGGAATCAAAGGTTAAACTGGTAAATAAAAAAGTACAGACTGAACAACTGAACTGCTCCAATCCCAGTAAATACCTATGTTAAACTTCTTTAAATTTAATAATATATCTCTTTACTACTCTCCTAATATTCACCAATACAAACTAAGATTTGTATTTGAAAAGTAACAAGAAAATTTCATTAAGTTTTGAGTTTGAATTATGTTTCCATTCATCAGTCTTGCATTGGTTACCAAGAAAACATGTCTCCTTAGAATTAAACGGTATATTTTCATAGATGTAAGAAAACAAAAGATCTACTTTGTTCACTGTGGCTGCCAAAAACTGACCAAAGACTCTTCGTGGCTACTTCATTTTTGAGAAAACAAACAGTTGTGAAGCTCATCAATCTTTTAAGACTTATTTCTCAAAATATGTACTGTAACAAATATGAAGTAAACCACTTTTTAGAAGAAAGTGTGATAAAATGAGCAGAATGCTTGAGGTGAGATTACCAAAAATGCTTTACATTTACTGAGTGTTTAGAAGACCCCGAGTATGGCCAATCAAGCAGCCTAGCTGATATGCTAGTGTCCTCAGACACAGTATCCACCATTTCGTTTTACTCATTTTCCAAAAATGACTAGTACACAGATGTCACACCACGAAACAAAACCATGCTTCAACTACTTTCTTCAAGCATTATAAAACTAATTTCCTATTTTCAACATTGTAAAAATAGACTTGTCTTCTCCAAAGGATCTTGCTGGATCTGTGCATTCCCTCTTAGTACTGACCCTAAAGGCATAAATTCTTTTTATCATTCCTTAAATCCAATCTTACATAAAGTTGCATAACGCATGGAATAACAGAGGAATGAAGACAAAGCATGGAACCCTGTATAAGTGTGTGGACCCAAAAGCAATCACACCAACGGCCAGAGGAAGTGGAAATTGTGAAGTAGTCTTCAACAACTTACTGTAAAGAGACAGAAAAATGTACATTACATAAACTACATTGTGAGCAAAAATGGAAGATGTTGATCTTTTATACAGTTTTGAGAAAGTGTTCTAAGTGATTTTAGGTAAAACAATTTTTCATATAATTCAGCTGTCCACAATTTTTGAAATGATCAATATAAGCCATATTTTTGCTAGACAAAAGAAAAACATTTCTATACAGTAAATAACCAGTTGTGTCTAGTCTTTTAAATTTTAACAACAACAAAAAATACTAGTTGGACATTACTCAGCAGCAATTCTACCTCTGGAAATCTATCCTAACAAAAATAACCAATAATGTTTACTAAGACTTAGCTACAGAAATATTTAGCCCTACTTATAAAAACAAAAAAAATCCTCAACCAAATAAAAAAGGAACCATCCTTAATTAAAACAGGAACATACAAGACAAGACACTAAATATTTTTAAAAGAAAAATACAGATGGTCCCTGACTTAAAAAATGCTTAGACTTAACGATTTTTCGGCTTGACAATTGTGTAAAAGCAATATGCATTCAGTGGAAATTATAATTCCATTTCTGAACTTTGATCTTTTCCCGGCTAGTGATATGTGATCTTGTGATGTTGGGCAGGGTCTGTGAGCTACACCTCCATCAGCCACGGGGATCACAAGGGTAAACAACTGATACTGGACAGTGTAGCATTAAGTGCATTTTTGACTTAACTACCGTATTTGCCGGCGTATAAGACGATTTTTTGGCCCTGAAAAATATGCCTCCAAGTGGGGGGTCGTCTTATACACCAGGTACACTTCAGATAGACTGCCCATATAACAAACTCTGTATTTTGAGTAGAAATGTTAGGGGGTCGTCTTATACGCCCAGTCGTCTTATACTCCGGCAAATACGGTATATTTTCAATTTAAGATGGGCTTATCAAGATGCAACCCTATCATAAGGGAAGAAGCATCTGTACTATCAGGAAAGCCTATTACTTTGTTATGCTGAAAACAGAGAAACTGAGGATAAAAAGGGTGAAGAAACTTGCCTCAGGACATACAGCTATGAAATGGCAAAGCCTCTGAGATTTAAACTCTAGGTTGGCCTGGTTCTAGATTATCTGCAAATATCTGCCAGAATCAACTGAAAAGGCTCTGAGAGCAAACAACCAGTCAATGAAAAGTCAAGTTTTCTTATGGAGAATTTTATACATATACATAAGCAGACTAACACTATAATGAACATCATGTGCCCATCACCCAGCTTCAAAAATTATCAAGTCAAAAAAAAAAAATTATCAAGTCATGGCCAATCTTACTTTACCTATATTCCTATCCACTTCCACTCCTCTATATTTTGTGGAAGCAAATTTTAGACATCATACTTTTAAGGGTCAACTTTTTAAAGAAAAAAACATTATTATACCTTAATAAGTAAAACCCATAATTAAGAAAGTATAATATACTTTCATATAAGCTAAATTTACAAATAAACCATAGTTACTATTATAGCTTTACCTTTAGGAATAGTCTAAGTAATTAGGAATAAAGAGCATGCTTCAGACATTAAAAAAATAAAATAAAAAAGTGATAAAGACCAGGAATAGATGTGAGAAAAAGAAAGATTAAACTACTATACCTTGATTTTATTGAAACAGTGTAAGTATTTCCAAGAATTGCCATAGTTGGAATAAGGATAAATGCCAAAGGTTTACATGGATCAGGATTAAGTTTAAAGTAATACCTATATCAAAGAGAAAAAATAGAATGTAAATCAACAAAGCATGCTTGATCATTTTATCAGAATCAAATTAAAAATTTTTCAAAACATTCTAGTAGCAATATGAATATAAGAGAACTCTGAACAGCTCATAAAATCTGATAATTTGGCTCTAGATCATCTTTATACCCAAGTTTTATATGGAGAATTACATTCAGAAACTACTAAACAAAATTAATATTCACTATGAAAGCACTTCCTTTTTATATAATGATTTAAAATATATTAAGTCTCCTCTATTAAAAAGGATAAAAAATAAAGGTTTTTAGTAAGAGTTCCTTATCTTTTTAAAAACCCAAATTCTCATGTCTTGCATTTATTTATAGACAGTAAAACATCTATAGCCTTTCAGAACCATAAATTTTTGCTCCTTAAATAATTTTCTCCCCAAATCTGTGAACAAAAATCTGGATCTTAAAATGAAGGACAAGGGAAGGATATCAACATCTGGTAACCTGTGGTTTAATAGCACTTATTTTGGTTCTGCCAATTTTGCAAAAAAAACCCAAATACTTCCAGGGCCGGCCAAGTGGCTCAGTTGGTTAAGAACACGAACTTTGAGCAACAGGGTCTTCGGTTCGATTCCCACATGGGCCAGTGAGCTGCGCCCACGCTGAGCTGCCAACAGGTGGCTGAGCTGGTGAGAGCACGTGCTCCTAACAACAAAGTTTCCGGTTCGACTCCCACATGGAATGGTGGGCTACGCCCACCCACAACTAAGATTGAACACGGCACCTTGAGCTGAGCTGCCCTGAGCTGCCGAGGGGTGGCAGGATGGCTCAGTGGTTAGAGCGTGTGCTCTTAGCAACAAGGTTGCCAGTTAGACTCCCACATGGGATGGTGGGCTACGCCCACCCACAGCTAAGATTGAACATAATACCCTGAACTCAGCGGCCACGAGCTGCCGCCGGGCAGTTAGATGGCGACTGGACTTGGAGCTGAGCTAGCTGCGCCCTCCACAACTAAGACTGAAGGACAACAACTTGGCTGTTCCCTTTCCCCAATTCCCCAATAAAACCTTAAAAAAAACTTCCTGTATTTAGATAATCAAAAAGTTTTATATCATTTCTGAAAACCATACTTCAGTAGGGGTTCAATTATTACTTGGATGAGGTAGTTTATTTTTTTAAATACAATTGATCAATAACTAAATATTCTAGAAATATCTTGGAGGGCTTTTTCAGACTCTCATTTAACCTAGGACATTTATTAGGTAGCAAAGCAAATGACGGTTTTCAGTAGTAAGACAGCTGATCATTTATTTTAGTTAACTGCATGGCGTACATTAGGCAAGTACTCACTTCCTTCATTATTTCTAATATTTTTAAATGAAACCATTTTTATTCCCCCCAAATTTTAAACAACATAAAACTGGTCATGATTTGAAAATACATAAAACATGGGCTGGCTGAGTGGCTCAGTTGGTTAAGAGCTCGCTCAAGAGTTTGAGCTCTGAGCAACAGCGGTTCGAGTCCAGCCCGAGCTGAGCAGCTGCTGAGCTGCCAACAGGTAGCAGGATGGCTCAGCTAAAAAAAAAATAATAATAATAAAAAAAAGAAAAAGAAAAAGAAAATACATAAAACATGAGCATTATGAACACCTTAATACAACAAAATAAAGCACATTTTTCACATATGTCTAGATCATAGAAAGTTAAAGTGACAATGCCCTCTTTGGGGAGGCAGATTTGGGGGAAGTTTCTTTTTCCAAAGTTTATTTTCTCATGGTGAGGGGGAAAATGTGAATATATTGAAAATAAATTTCAGGTGATATGTAGCTTCCTGTCCTTGAGGAAGTTTTATGTACCATTAAGAATCCAGCAAGTCTCTACTTATAGATATTTATTGTTTGAACCACATAAGTTTTAAATATAAAAATAAAACGAACCTAAGATTCTTTAACCAATAAATTAAAGACGGCATGCTGAGTAATACAATCCACGTTAATAAGTTAATCACTGTGCTGTGCATGCGAAGACTATCTTCAGCATCACTGGCAGATAAACGAAGATGGTGTACTGTAGACTCTTTATGGTGATTGGATTTTTTTTCACTTCTTCTGGAGTGTTTGGGATTCTAGAAAGAAATAAAGTAAAAATATCAAGGTATTAAGTAAAATTTAAATTTATGATTGTATTCAGAATCATATTCAATTACTGAACAGCTAAATAAATATATCTTTCCACTACCAAACTGATAAAAAAAAATACTGAAATTCCCTTGTTTAAAAGTGGTTATCAGGCTGGCTGAGTGGCGCGTTGGTTAGGAGTTGGCTTGGGAGCGCCAGCTCTGAGCAGCAGGGCCCCAGTTTGGATCCCACATGAGGGTCAGTGATGCTGCGCCCTCTACAATTTAGATGGCAAATAACAGCTCCACCTGGAGCTGGGCTGCTGTGAGTCGCCAGCAACGGCGTAGGCTGCAGTGGGGCTGGCCGGCAGCTGGCATGCACTTTCGTGCCCTGAGCAGCCATCCAAGGTCCGGCAACTGATGTGCCTCACCTGGGAAAAGCGCAATGATCACAATACCAACATGGGCCAGTGAAGCGACGTCCTCCACCACTAGACTGAAGAACAAAAGGACAGCAACTTGTCTGATCTCATTCCCTGATTCCCCAAAGGTGTTCCCCTCCCCCAATTCCCCAATAAAATCTTAAAAAAAAAAAAAAGTGGTTATGGTTATCAGTTATAAAACTTTTATGTCTTTGACTTGCTATTTCCACTGCTGACAACATAGCCTCTATGTAATTCCTCAAAATAAAATTTAAAATATAGTTTGTAACAACAAAAATGACATATGTACTGACAAAGATCAAATTAAAGTGAGACAATCGAAGTCTACAGTAGTATTCATTAGGTTCAGTTTCCCTAAAAATACTTAAATTCATGATACCTTTTAAACACTATAAAATCCGAATTTAAAAAAAATGAGAAACTTTAAAATTTTCCCATGTTCTTTCATATTAAAGTGATGTAGAGTTTTGAAAATAAAACTTACCACAGTTTGGCTATTTTTAAAAGTTGTTAGGCTGGCTTGCAGATGAACAATCTAGGAAAAAGAAATGACTGTTTAATTTTACCTTTATTTGAAACAAAACCCACCCATTTTTATTAAAATTGAGAAGCACTAAAATTTAAATTTTTTAAAAATCAAAACAACTAGAAATTCATTTAAACACTGAAAAATATTCTCTTACAAAAGATAAATAATAACTACACACGCTTGCTATCATGGATTAAAAAACAAAATAATACAAACTTCCAGAGTTTGTTGAAGCCAGGATATTGCTACATCTTTCACATTCTGGAGCTTTGAATGATATTTTGCTGTAGCAACTTCAAGTGTCTTGTGAGTAAAAAATTTAATTATATTTAGTATAGTATAAAAAGTAACATGTTTTATATATTCTAAATCTTTGAAAATCTAAACTCAATTATATATAGTGATGAAATGTTTTCAAGAACCTGAGAAAGTATTTAAGTTTAATTTATTAGCCTTGCTTAAGTGTTTGAGAAAGTTTTGCTTACTGGGTCAGTTGTTTGAAATATCCAATTAAAAAAACTAAAGATATTATACTTATAAATCTAAGTAGCTCTAAATAGTTTTCTTTCTAATTGATATACAATTCCTTTGGAAAGCCACAAATAATCTATAATGTGCCACGTATTAGTGCGAAAAGCGGATGCAAATAAACTTGTTTAAAAAAGAAGAAAAATATTATCCATTCCGGTATCAACTGTCTCTACATAAGACTAATGAGGAGAATATGCAGTGTATGACCTCTATTTTCCGGCAAAGCTGTCAGCCTTTTTGAAAGTGTTTTTCACTTCCTTAGTAAAATTATCAGCCTAATTATTTCTATCATTGTCTTCTGATTCTTCAGCAACATATGTAACATTTTGCATTATCTCAGCAGGGCTGATAGCTTGATCCTACTGATAGAACTTTTTGTCTGGGCTATTGCCCATGTTCTAAGGGAGGTGTGAAAAAAATTCCTCTAGTAAAATATTTTTTAAAAAGTTAACATTACTTGTAAGAGCAAGAAACATTTTGGAACATTCTATCTTCTCCCCTCCCTTTTTTTTTTTTAAACAAACTAATCCAATTTAAGACTAATAATTTCAGTTCTACAGTTAACTACATATTTTAAATAACTAAGATGTTTTAAAAAAAAACACCTTTACACTTAAATCTGTTATATAACAAAAGGTTACTGCAGCAGTAATTAAAATTTTTATTAACAACACCTACAGGAAATCCTATGCCTTCCTGATACAAAGCCCAGCCATTCTGACTTTATTGATCTGACATACCTTAAACACATAGTAAAGGTAAGTAAGAAATATGGCAAATGCGCCACAAGTTGCCCAACTGACTATGACCAAAACAACTGTCAAAAAGGGTAAGTCTGGTGATATCATCTTGATGTTTTTAGGGAGTTCAGAGGGCCTGGAAAAACAAGAACACAATTCTTCATAGTTATTTATAGTCACATGTAAGAAGAAAACAATACAGTACTCTGCCAGGCCTTCCTGTTTATTAATATGAAAGCACCATAAAGTAAACAGTAAGGTATTTTTAATAAAGGCAAGGGGTGACACATATTTGACTGTGAATTCTGTAATATGCGGTCAGACAATTAAGTTCACGAACTCATCCTAGAAAAAGTACTACATACCTCATTTCTGAATATCACTATGGTCACCTTCGAAGTACTCCCCTTGGGAAACTATGCACCAATGCCAACGCCTAGTCCAGCCTTCAAAGCAATTTTGGAACTCTTTTTCTGGAATGGCAATCAGAGCTTTCATCATATTACCCTTGATGTCCTGAATATCATCAAAATGTCTTCCTTTCAATATTTCCTTTATCTTCAGATAAGGAAAAAAGTCACTGGGGGCCAGATCAGGTGAGTAGGGAGGGTGTTCCAATACAGTTATTTGTTACTGGCTAAAACCTCCCTCCCAGACAGTGCTGTGTGAGCTGGTGCACTGTCGTGATGTAAGAGCTAGGAATTGCTGGTGAAAAGTTCAGGTGGTCTGACTTTTTCCCACAGCCTTTTCAGTACTTCCAAATAGTAAACTTGGTTAACTGTTTGTCCAGTTGGTACAAATTAATAATGAATAATCCCTCTGATGCCAAAAAATGTTAGCAACATTGCTGCAACAAAGTTTGCAAACTTAATTGTCAGGCCTCATACACTGTGATACCGCTTCTTCCATTTAGATACACTATGGCTGATATTTATACTAAGAAAAAAATGTTGCTAAAGATAATTATTAACTATAGGCCGGTGCCATACATTTCTGATCTTGATAGGTGGAGGAACAGTTTTCTATTTCTTAGTCTCGAGATCACTCAGACATGTGATGGTATCAGAAGCACCTTAGAAGGAGAAAGGAGCATAACTTAATCCCTTCTGAGACAGTAAATCAAAGAACATGTTTGGTGAGGGGTGGAAAAGGAAACTATATCAATGGTTTACCAGAAAAGTCTACCAGTAACTTCAAACTATGTCTTTGGGCCTATAATAAAACCATAGGCAATGCTTTGGAACGCTTATACATTTCATCTAATCTGATCCTAAATATCTTAATTGGAGTCTCTTGCTCTCAGGTTTGATTGCAAATCAACATAATAAAAGCACTGCCAGAGAAACACTTCCTCCTTAGAAATATTTGTAACAGTGAAATTTACAAATACTACTAGTATAATCTGCCTAACTTTTTCAATTCACTTGAGTACTAAGGTCAAAATCAAAGGTAGCATTTAATTTGCAATAAATGATCTTTGACAATGACATAGCTTCAACACTAATCCACGTTTTGCTATTTCTTTAGAAATTAGTTTAGTGAAAGCAAATTAATTTTAAGGTTCACCATCAGAATATAATTTTATTTCTTAATTAAGAGCAATGAGAAAGTTTTTAATCATTCTACTCTTTACCTTTTCAAAACTAGCCACAATGAAGAAAGGAGTCTCACAGACGTAGAAGAAAGCAGGCCGCCCCAGTAGGCAGTACATGTTCCAAACAGAAAGAGAATCAAGGACACGAGGGGGAAACACATACTCTGACTAGTTAAAACGATGGCATCTAATTCTGGTAATAGTAACACATCCCATAATTCTTTAAACCATTTATACCTGTGGATGAAAGAAAATATAAAATAAAAACAATTTTAAAAAATCAACAACTGACATTCAAGGATTTACTATCTGAGGTGAATGACCCTTCATTAGAGTCCCCAAAGTACCATGACATTTAACTTGTAATTATACTGAAAAACAAGTTTCAATTCCTTGTAGGGAACAAGTCATTTATCTTCCAAGTGAGTCTACTGATCTTGAAGGATTTGAGTCCTGAGTTTCAATGCAGCTTTAATGCTCTCTACTAATCCTTGTAAAGACATAATAAGTGGTCTTTTTAAGTTAGAAAGCCAAACGCTAGTTGTAAAGACAGAAGAAAAGAGATCTAAGTAACGGCTCTTAAGCAAAAAACAATGCAAATAAATTAAGAATGAAATATTAAGTAGAGAAATCTAAAACACTTTGTATGGAAAGTAAGAAAAAGTAATCTGAGGCACTGTTTCATCAACATCCTATAATGGTTGTGCTCTGGGATACTCCAAGATCATGAACCATATATATCCCTTTGCAAATGTTGAAGGCCTGGTATATTTACAGTCTAAGTTTAGACTGATATGTATGATAAGCTCAATGATTACTTTGGACATAGTTATACTACTGAAGTAAATGTTGATCTACTTATTAGGCCTTTGTCTAAGAGGAAAAAAATCTCATTTAAGTCAATCACCATATTTGAATGAAAACTTATATTCCATTATGAAGACAAACATGTTTTATACACAATAAAAAATTAAAATCATTATCACAGATAATAAAACTTACCCCAAAAGAAACTTAATCATAATTACAAAAGGATCAACTTTGTATGGTTTGGCTTCTTTATCCAACATAGTAGCATATTCTAAGCAATGACCTGGTAGATTAAAAAAAAAAACTCTATGTAGTACAGAATTCAGTCATTAAGTATAAGACATATTATACCTTGCAGTATCTGTAAGAGCAACATATTTCATGTCAGAGAAAGCAAGAGTCTTCATTACTATCACAGAAACTCTCCTCAAAAGATTAAAAATTACTGGAATTCAATGGTTCTCATATAAGAGTACATATTCGATCACTTGTGAAACAAATTCTGGAAGCCAAGAATGGGTTTTCAACATTTGTATTTTCACAAAGCTCCATGGGTGCTTTTTTTTTCTTTCTTTTTTTTAACTTTACTGTGTATAATTTTTATACCACACAACTCATCCATTTAAATGTATGCTAGTCCATGGTTTTAGTGTATTTACAGAGTCATGCATCCATCACCACAATTCAACTTAGAATATTTTCATTACTCCAAAAACAAAAAAAAAGTCCCTTTAACTGTCACCTCCAATTCCTCCCCATTCCTAGGCAAACACTAATCTAGTTTCTTTCTCTGTAGACTGAACTATTCTGAACATTTCATATAAATAGAATCATATAGTATGTAGTCCTTTGCAACTGGCTTCTTTCACTTAGCACATTTCCAAGATTCATCCGTGTTGTAGGATGTATCAACACATTTTATTTATCCGCTCATCAGCTGATGGACATTTGGGCTGCTTCCACTTTGAGGCTGTTACGAATAGAGCTCCTGTGAACATCTGCGGATGAGTTTAGTGTGAGTGTATGTTTGCCTGTCTCTTGGGTATGTAACCTATGGGTGGAGTTGCTGGCCATCTGTTAACTCTGCTTAACCAGCTGAGGAACTGCTAGGCTGCTTTCCAAAGCAGTGATACAATTTCACATTCCCACCAGCAGTGTATGAAGGTGCCAATTTCTGCACACCTTCATTAATGCTTGTAATTGTCCTTTTTATTTCATCATTCTAGTGAGTATGACCCACGGTGATTTTTTATAAGCATCCTTGGTTCAGAATTACTTCTTTAATTGATGTGAGACATAATCCCGTACTTACATCCTCTAGATGAACCAATATCATAATCTCTGGGGTCTCTATGGACTATCTGGATATAAATTCTATATGTTTGAAAATCAGTTATCAGGTCACTTGAAACTAAGGAGAATGAAATATCTCTTTCAAATTAAAAAGAAAAAAAAGATATTTATATTCAAGTAGAACTGATGTCATACTGCCAAAATAATCTCTTAATTAAAAGGCTGGATCAGATTAGAGCACACTGAATGTTGCTTCTTTCTTCATGGAATATAAATTAAATCAGGTTAAAATAAACACTCAAGGCAGACCTGAAATTGCAAAAAGTCATTGAAAGGGAATTAATAGCTGTGAAAGGATCTGGCAAGGTGGAAATGGTGGAGGGGATTTTTGGATTGCTTTTATGTATTTTGGCCCCATTTTCTTTTCCTGTCTTTTGCCTCCCTTGATTACTAGTCCAAGCCAAACAAGTGTGTAAGGACCTTACATAGTTGAGGCTCCTGGGAAACTGTACTAACCGCTGTTCTCTACAGAGGGTTTTGTCCAGTATACTATACAGTAAAACCTTAGATTGCGAGTAACTTGGTTTGCGAGTGTTCCGCAAGACGAGCAAACATTTCTAATACATTTTAACTTGGCAAACGGGCAATGTCTTGCAATACGAGTAGTTTGTTTCCGGAATGAATTATACTCGCAAACCAAGGTATTACTGTATAGTCTATATTTGCCCCTCTAGATCCATTCTGCACTCTTGACTTTGCTCTGAATTTGGGGAGGCTGACTTTTATGGATGGGCTTCTAGGTACGTTCAGTGAATGAGGGCCACTGGCAGACAGGAGAATGGACGGGAATAGGTTAGTATGTTTCTTTCCCCACCTCTCCCAGCTGAGCCCAGGCTGACTGTGGCCCCAGCGTTGCCCACATCTACAGCTGCAATAACGCTGAACTCTCCAACAGCTCTAGGTTTGCCCTCTCCCTTGCCCTGCACCTAGGAGTATCGGGTGGCTCTGCTGTGAACCTGGGACTTTATCATTTCTTGTTGGTTTCCCTTAACCCTACATATATACCTTTGAAATAGCCCCTTCCTTAAACTTTCAGTTATTCCATTCAATGTGCCAGGAGCTAACTGATACAGCTGATACAGCCCAAGTATTACACTGAGTAACTACTATGGGCTTGGCACTGTGTTAGGTACCGGGATTAGGATGGAGAACAAGATCCCTACCAGTGAATCTCTACCTATTAAGAGGTCCTCCAAATAGAGAGAAGAAACTTCAGGCACGACGGTATAAAATGGAGAAAGCAAGTAAGGAATTTTCTTGGGGATCTCTTAAAACTTAGAGGATCCCAAATCCCTGTAAACTTGAGAGAGGTGGGCTGTACATTTTCAAGAAATTGATATGTCTTCCTTAGCCACATGAAGAATAAAAAATAATGACGCACAGAGAAAGGAAAGGAGGGAGTGAAGAATAACATTCTTACCTGTTGAGAACAGAGAGTATAACTGTCCTCCATAAGCAAGAAGAATACTAGATATCACATAAGCAGGAAGAGCTCCGCCATGAAATCGAACAACCTAGAAAACAGGAAAAGCAATGGACAACTTCTAAATATTTGTGGTAATGAAATCAATGTACTTTCACATAAAATGAAAGTGTCATTCTTCACTTTATATCTTTCATGATATGGCCACAAAGGTATTTCTAGTAACGGGTATCAAAACTCTAAGTAAAATAAACGTTAAGACTATAAGCATACTACATAGAAAAATGGTATCTAAATTTTTCATTACAGGCTAATAAGGAGAATATATAATTGAATAGCAAGTGCTACAGACTATTTTACAAGGCATGCTTACTGAGCATTTAATATGTTCCAGGCATGATATCAAATATCTTATATGCATTATCTCATGCTCTCCTCCCAAAAACCTTTGAGGTAGCTCTTATCCCTAATTCAGCCTCAGGGAGCCGAAGTAACTTGCACTTAAAAACATAATACACAGGCAAGTTATTTACTTGTTACCTCTCTATGTCCTCATCAGTAAAATGGGGACAATAATAGTACTTACCTTGTAAGTGGTTTTAAGGATTAAACATGTTCATTTGTGTAAAGCAGTTAGACTATTAATGTGAACATGATAAGCTACCAGAAAACATTAGCTGCTATTATTAAACTTCTATGTCCATTACTGTCTTTGGAAATCTTGCAGAATGGGATTTAACTCAGAGCCTAAGTTCATAATAATTATGTTATAGTGCCTCAAATCAGTCTATAAGCTGATCCAATCTCTGTAAAAAACATACATATAACAAAAATAAAGTGTTAAGTTCTTATTTTAATAATAAAGTTTTAAAAGAAAATTTAAAGCATGTTCTCTATTCCACAGAATTTTTTAGAAAACGTACAGATTCCCTTGGCAATTTGATAACAGCTATGGAAATGCATGCTTACACAAGATGCTGTGTAAATTTTCAGGAAGTTCAAGGTCTTGAAGCTTCTTTGTGGATTCCCAGGTTAAAATAAGAAAGTCTCAGGCCAGCTGAGTGGCACATTGGTTAAGAGCTGGCTTGGGATGCCAGAGGGCCCCGGTTCGGATCCCACATATGAGGGCCAGTGACACTGCCCTCCACAGCTAAGATG